AAACTGATCTTGAAAGAGATTCTAATGATATTGTTGTTTTCTTTTCTTTTTTTAATAATCTTGAAGTGCCTATTAACTTATTGAGCAAATCTAAATAAATCAACAGGCTTTACTATGCATGCTGACTTGGTTTGTTTTGTATATATCACAAGCCAGTCCCCAATGGTTTCTTTCTTGTTTTAAGTTATGTTTACGTGTTTTGGTTTTTCCCAGATTGACAAGAATGCACTGAAGTTCAAAACGAAACCGTTGGAGCATATGGACCTAATGCGAAGGGTGTACGAAGGTGCAACGGCAATCGAGAAATTTGCATGGACACCAGGGGCAGCGTTCGAACTTGTCACCACCGAGGACAATCCTTTGCTGGTAGACGAAGAAGACTGCGAAGACAGCAGTGGTTTGCCCCATTTCCAGCCATCCGCGCAGCATGAACACACTGTCCACCACAGTTGTGCGCAAGAGGAGGACACCCCGGTCACTGTACATGCTACGTCATCGGCAATTCACGCTGATGACACACCTACGAGTGGCGGGAGCAAACGCAAATTCAGTCGCACAACACACCCATAGCAAAAAAAAGGACAGAGTGAGGGAGCATCGCTCTTGGCGAGTAGCATGGAAAACCTTGCGTCTTCAGTTAAATTACAGCAACGAGAAGTCCGCGTGCATCATGAGTATAGAGATTCGGCCTCGGACTGTATTCGCAAGTGTATGGCAAGGTTGTACTCCCTACAAGGCTTGGACCCGCAAGACCCACTAATCCCTTACGGTTTGACGCTAATGGACAATCCGGCAAATCAAGCAATATTGTTGCAGATTCCGACGGATGCGGCAGTCATTACTTGGCTGTGAATGAAGAAGTCCCAAAATATGGGTGGCCCATCAGGGCCAAATCACAGCCTCGGAATGACTCGGTGGTTCTGACGGCTTTAGTCACCGGAAAGGGTCATGTTTCATTACTATCTTGCATTAGTTTTCTACCATGTTGCTACCTCCTATGTTTGTTTTACATTTATTTTTTTCCCCTGCCAACAACCCGTGAGTGTGTGCATTTTCTTTTCCTTCCCTTACAAACAGATTCGACAGTGGCTGTACGCTTTTTTTATTACGGAATTGGTGTGCGATGTGTTAGATGTATTATTACTTTTTATGCAGCAGGCTCATTATTTATAAATGTGTTTCCTTTCCTGGGTTTCAAGGGATGCTAACAAAGCAGCTTATTGAATAGTGATGATCCACTTTTTCTTTTGTGTGTTGTATATCTATGGTCTATGCATGAGTTGGGTTTACAGTTATGGTTTGAACTGTAAATTTTATACACTATACATTCATGCTCAGAGGATTACCAAGGCTTTTAGAAATGGCATAGAAATGGCATAATGGAGGTGGAACTTTCCACAAGTCAGCGTGTGTTGCTGCAAGAACGGTTCATAGAAATAAAACGATAAATAGTACTAAAATAATTACATTCACTTCTTTTTTAGTAAGGTTATAATGAATGAAACTAATAGTGTGAAAATATAAAAATATACATTCATTTAAGTGTAAAAACGATGATAATAATTTTTTTTTTAATGTACATGACTTAAACATAAAAATATACATACATTTAATAAATTATTGATGAAAAGGAGTTAAATAGTATGTGAATAAAAAATACTACAAAAGATCAATAAAATTATGTCAAATTTGTGAAACTCAACAGAGGTTAGTGTAGAGCATTGGACAGGTGCTACAATTGTACCCAAAGATTTTAATGTACCCAAAGATTTTTGTCAACTTGCTTCAATATTGTCTATTTGTGAGAATTGGACAGGTGCTACAATTGTAGAGCATAGCTTTTTCATTAGGCAGGTTGCTTTGTGATGTAGTAGATGTACCCCTCACATTACTGCAGCAGCCACGTGAATACTGTTGTGTTCATAGGAATCTGGACGTGTAAAAATTACTTTTTCAGTCAATATGTGCGTACCCTGTATGTGATAAACAGCTTTTGTTATTTTACATTTGCAAAATCAGTTTTTATTTCATGTGTAAACGAATATGAATTCCTTATATTTTTTGTTTGTTGTTTGTTTGGTGTATAAATGGTTGTCTCGGTTCATAAATGTCTCGGTTCATAAATGATTTTGATTTTGTATTGTGAACACATTTTTTTATTTTATTTATTTGAACAAATTAAAATGTTGACTATAAGATATGAAAAATACGTAGAGAACACAATAATGATTATTCATCAGAACAAAATGAAATTGTGTGAACACTGTTTCACAAAAATCATACCAGAACAAGCTGTCCAGTTTATTATCATGGCTGCACAAAATATTATTTTGTGCACATTATTAAAATGTTTTTTGGTTCCCACAAAAAAGTGAATCAAACATGTAGGCACCCTTGACAAGTTGTTGAATCCCTTACATCACAAAAAGCTACGCACATGAAACAAAATGGCCCCCATAACCTTGGCCATTATATTCTTCCCCTCTTGTCTATTTTTTTCCTTCTTAGTTCAGAGTGTGGTTTTCTCTCTGTCCCTCTCTCTCCATCTACCCAGAACTCGTTTATTTCCTTGGAAGTTTTTCAAGTTTTTCACATTTTTTGTTCTTACATTTCCAAATGGCGAACGACGCAGGTCCGAGTCACCGCGTGCAACATGGTACATCCTGGGAAGCTATCGATGAAATTGCGAGGGAAATGGTGGTCAAAACTGATCATAACTTGGTAGAAGAATGGAGTAGTGCGGCAAGATATTATTACAACCATTATCACAAAGTCTCTCGAAATACATCAATACTTTCAAGACGTTTATGGATGTTTGAGTTGTTTAACGGCCACCAGGGCCGGTTTGAAGACAATGTTAGTATGTCACAACCAGTGTTCATGTTGTTATGCGATGCGCTTCACAGTTTTGGATTGACGTTGCCGTAGCGGGAGCATGGTGTTCCGCTGGAAGAGAAGGTAGCCATTTTTATTTGTGCGTTGCAGGGTCTATCTTGGAAAAATTTGCAAGAACGATTCCAACACTCAATGGAGACAATGTCACGCAATTTTCATGAGGTAATGCAAGTTATGATACCGTTTACATCGGTTCATAGTAGGAGTCTTACGCTCGAACAAGTACAACAAGGGGCCATCCACATTTACGGTCGCAGCAGCGGTACTGGCCATTCAAGGTGACAATTTCCATAAATGTGCAATTTTTTTAAAGCTTAGAAGAAAACCATGATTAAGTTATGTTAAGTTGTGAAAAATTGGTGCGTTGCATAGGACTGCATCGGTGCATTAGACGGGACGCACGTGATGGCTCGTGTCTCGCAGGAGTACGCCACATCATACTATGGCCGGAAAGGCGTGCCGACACAGAATATAATTGCTGTATGCGACTTTAATTTGTGCTTCACATTTGTCTCTGCCGGTTGGGACGGGAGCATGCACGACAGCCGAGTTTTGCACTACGTGACAACCGAAGAGAAACATCGCTTCCCGCACCCCGCACCAGGTAAAAAATATTAAACAGAAATATGAATATGTAGAAACTATAAATATAAATATTTTCAATAATGTATTTTCTTGGCAACAAAATTGTGAAAATTATTGTCTTTTTCTTATTTTTTTTATTTTGTCAACAAAATCAGTTGTCTAATGTAGTTTATTTCCCATTGTTCAAAATTTTTGCAAACAAATTTAAAAAATGAAACAAACGAAAATGAAAAGTTTTGAAAAATAATTAAGTGGTAAATAAGAATGTGAAAATGAAAATGAAATGTTATAATTTATTATTTAAATGAATTAAAAAAGTACTCCAAATAGAAATGTTGTTAATGAATTAGAAAGTAATTAGAAAAATAATTTCGTAATTGGAAATATAATTTTTGCACAACAAAAGAACTTCACAATGAAATAGTAATTGAAAACAAAAATGGAAAAAGAAAAAATTACTAACAAAATAATTGACAACTCTTAATTCTTATAAATTGTGCAAGAATTAATTCTTATATAATTCGCAGAATATGCAGTAATTAGAAATATAATTTTGCACAACAAAAGTAATTGCGAAGAAGAGTAATTGAAAACAAAAGGTCTTAACAAGAATAATTCATTATTAGACGAACAAAAATTGAGACAAGTTAATTGAAATATAATTTAAGTGGTAAATAGTAATTGAAAACAAAATTGGGATAAGAACAATTTTTATTAATGAAAATGTAATTGTCATAAAAAAAATTAATTATTATAATTCACAAGCAATGTTGTAATTGGGAATATAATTTTTGAGAACAAAAGAAATTGCACTACAACAAAATGGTTCTTTAATGACAAAATTACTTCGTCTCCAATAGTACAATTTTCGTCACCAAACTGATCTGTGACGAAATTATTTCGTCACCACGTTCGTCACCTATTGGTCGTCACAAAAAGTACCTGGTGACGAAATTTTATTTTGTCACCAATTATTGGTACTTGGTGACGAAACATTTCGTCACTAAATGTTAAATATTTTGTCACCTATAATGTCTATTTCGTCACTAAAATTAAATAAAATTTTATTCTATTTGTTTTGGGTGACGAAATATTTCGTCATTAAAAATAGTGATAAAATTTTTAGTGACAAAAATATTTGTCACCAAAAGATGTAAAAAAAGACCCTTTAGTGACAAAATTTTTGTCAATAAATATTTTAATTTAGTGACGAAATACTGAACATGTGTGACGAAATTATTTGTTGAGATTAGAAAATTTTAGCGACAATTTTTTTTTTGTCGCCAATAATAAATAAATTTTAAAAATTGTGGCATATATATTTGCAATTTATATATATTTTTTTCAATAAGCAATCCTGTGCATTTTAATTATTTATTCAATAAAATATCTAATATTAATCAATATAAAATTAAACTGTTCATTTTCATTAAATAACACAAGCAAAATACATGTCTCATAGTATCAAGAAATTAATATATAACATCAATTATAGTAAAATCAAAACTGCGACAACACAATCAAAATAACTTATGCATTTTAATATTCTGTTCAATATAATATCCATTACAGATCATTACAAAAACCTGTTCATTTGCATAAAGCGACAACATAGTCAAAATATATGTTTGATAGTATCAACAAAAAGATAAGATCCATCACAATATAATCACAACCCGTGACAACATAGTCAAAATACATGTTTGGTAATATCAACAAAAAGTACAATGGCACTATGATGGATACGTGTCTAGTAATTTCAACAAAAAGTTCTTGCTATGCAGGTTACCAAATTCGTTCATCTCCAATCTGCCATTTAAAAAAAAAAAAAAAAAAAAAACAACAACAACAACAAAAGGTTAAAGAAACCATTCACTAAATATGTGAATATGCAACCTAAAAGAGAAAATATGAAAACTTCGAAGTAAATTTCAAACCAAAATTTATTGTGTTTGTTCCGTAAATTTTTACAACTTACATTAGGTCCTCCCAAGGTGTTCATGATGTTTCCCGGGCCTTTTAACGACTATTTCAAGCTTTTACTCCCTAATGGCCTATTTTCAAGCCTAAATGTTTTCTAACCGAGAGTCCTATGATTGTTCTGTAAGTTTTCACAACTTATGTTGATCCCTCCCAACGCGTTCATGATAATTTCTAGACCTTTTTGTGCTTATTTAACAATTTTGCCCCCCGATGACTTATTTTCATGCCTAAGTGTTGGAAATTTACAAATTTGAAAGTAGTTTTTAAATTGGGAGTCTCATGCTTGTTCTATAAATTTTCATAATTTACATTGGTTACTCTCGAGGTGTTCATGATGTTTCCCAACCCTTATTCATATTTCATTATTTTGTCCCTCAATGACCTATTTTCAAACTTAAGTGTTGGAAAAATACATAATTGAAAGTAATTTTCAAACTAGGAGTCATGTGCTTGTTTCAATGGGGAGCCACGTATATTGTCACTCAACTCTCAACAAAAATCAAAGCAATACATAAGGTAAAACCCATCAACCCACAACAAGATAAAAGGAAAACACGCTAGAGAATTTAGAGGTACGTTCACTCAACCCTCAACCAAAAAGCTCCCTAATATAAGTAACTTTAATATCTTAGTAAAATCTACTGAGATGAAAAAGCTTTCAGCACTACATGAAAACAAAAAATGAAAAAAAATAAAGAAGAAAAAGCAGACAACGAATGATGAGAATCCACCACCTACTGTCAATGAAGATTTTGAAGTAGAAAAACATAAATCATTCATTATAATTTTGTAACTGTTGGCATGAACACAATAAATGTTGAGAATCCACCACCCACTTTATTTTTACCTAAATTACATATATATATATATATATATATTAACTCGCTGTGCTGAGTAGGGAAAAAAAATTAGAATGATGATATGACATGATTATGGATACATGATATATTACTCAGTAATTATTATATAAGTATAATAACAAATCTCACTATATGTAAATGTGACAAGTACACATTATATTAATATAGAGAATTTCATTTTAATAGTAAAATTCAGCATCTTACCGACACTAGATTGGGGGGCTGCCTCCCTCTGTGCCTCTATATCGACATCAAGTGGCTGTGAGTGTTGGGTCTCCACATTGTCATGTAAATCCTCATTCCAAACAAAAATTGCCTCATGCGAAGGTTGAAGAGATGACTGCGCCAATCGTTTTGGTGGCATTGGTAAGCCCTATGAAAGCCCAACCTGGTCAAGCACCACATAACAAAATGATGAGGCTGAACAAGAGACATAAACTACCAATAAACTCAAGACTACAAGATCTAAACCAAAATAACAACATCAACTAAACACCTCTAAATAAATAAAAAAAACTCCAAGCAGAGACCACAGTGACCTCTAGCCCAGGACACTAACACAGCAGAGGCATCAGAACAACATATACACAGATTACACAGCATATACACAACTACAACATGTACCCACTTCACTTAACAGAGCAGCAAACCAGACCTGCCCAGCCTAAACACAGCAGCAGCATATACACAGGTTGTAGCAGTAGGTAGCTCAACCAATGTATAACTGAGCAGCATAACTACTCAAAATTGTTCTATAACAGATGGACAGCTTGCTCCAAAGCCTCACTTAATTGATCCTGGAAAGACAAGCAATCAATACACTCAATAGAAACAAACATCAACAGTAACTGCATCAAAATCTCACTGATTTATTACTACCATCACTCAACCCACATATGAACACTCCAACACAGAAAGAGAGCAGTTATCACCACAAAAAACCTAACAAAAATATATGCTCACACCACTCAACTCTCAACTCTCAACTCTCAACTCTCAACTCTCAACTCTCAACTCTCAACTCTCAACTCTCAACTCTCAACTCTCAACTCTCAACTCTCAACTCTCAACTCTCAACTCTCAACTCTCAACTCTCAACTCTCAACTCTCAACTCTCAACTCTCAACTCTCAACTCTCAACTCTCAACTCTCAACTCTCAACTCTCAACTCTCAACTCTCAACTCTCAACTCTCAACTCTCAACTCTCAACTCTCAACTCTCAACTCTCAACTCTCAACTCTCAACTCTCAACTCTCAACTCTCAACTCTCAACTCTCAACTCTCAACTCTCAACTCTCAACTCTCAACTCTCAACTCTCAACTCTCAACTCTCAACTCTCAACTCTCAACTCTCAACTCTCAACTCTCAACTCTCAACTCTCAACTCTCAACTCTCAACTCTCAACTCTCAACTCTCAACTCTCAACTCTCAACTCTCAACTCTCAACTCTCAACTCTCAACTCTCAACTCTCAACTCTCAACTCTCAACTCTCAACTCTCAACTCTCAACTCTCAACTCTCAACTCTCAACTCTCAACTCTCAACTCTCAACTCTCAACTCTCAACTCTCAACTCTCAACTCTCAACTCTCAACTCTCAACTCTCAACTCTCAACTCTCAACTCTCAACTCTCAACTCTCAACTCTCAACTCTCAACTCTCAACTCTCAACTCTCAACTCTCAACTCTCAACTCTCAACTCTCAACTCTCAACTCTCAACTCTCAACTCTCAACTCTCAACTCTCAACTCTCAACTCTCAACTCTCAACTCTCAACTCTCAACTCTCAACTCTCAACTCTCAACTCTCAACTCTCAACTCTCAACTCTCAACAATAACATCCCTTAATTGAGGACCAGCTAGTACCTGCACAAAAACACAACTGGAAATATAGAGATCTCACAACCACTCAACCCTCAAAAGTTTGTATCAAACACAATTCACAGCCCTAATATAAGAGCTCACCATCCCTCAACCCACACATCTCTACACTGTGTACCAGCTTTGAAAAACCTGCATTAACAAAAGTTAGCAAAAAAATAAATAATAAAAAGGAGACTAGCACCTATTGATGTAGTCACTTCACTTAACCCACTTCCCTAAAAAGGAGACCAGCATACACCTCCAAGGCCCTGCACACTCACCAGAACATTAGAGATAATGCATCCCAGTTACAGCAAATACAAGCCACTCTTAAGACCACATCATCCACACCAATTACCTACTGTCAGATTTCAAGAGACAAAACAAAAACAAAAACAAAACATGTGTCAGGATCCATATGTGTAAAGCAAAATATTTTCTTGAAGAGACAACAAAATATATCATAAGCATGTAATGGAATTGGCAGTAGGGGTCTCACTCTTTTCTCTTGTCTCTTGTTTCAATTATTATATATATATATATATTTTGGAATAAGTAGAACTTTCTAGATATTTGATAACAAACAACATAACAAAAACACACACGGAAATATAAAAGCTAAAATAATCATACCCAGTGTAGTAATCCTTAGGTAGATAAACATCTATGTATATATATATATATAGATCAAGGGATTGAAGGATGATAAAAAAAAAATAGAGAGAGAGATTAGAGACCTGGCGTTGAGGGAGATGTTGCGAACGAGGAGACCAGAAGGGGCAGGGGAGCGTCGGTCTTTGCGAGACCTGGTATCGCTTGCTACGCCTTGGGTCGTAGCTTTGGCTTCGGCTTCTGTACCTCCCCATTGCTGTGCTAATCTTCTATTGTCTTCTTCTTCTGCTTCTTCGTCTCTCTCTCTCTGAATTGAAACCTTAGTTGGATCGTGAAAAACCCTAACCCTAGAAATTACTGGTGCGTAGATAAAGAGAGTTCCACCCAGAAGGGTCTAGAAACAACCATCACTGAAAATAATTATTTTATATATATATATATATATATATATTAATTAAAATTTTATTTTAACATCATCTTAATATTTTATAATATAAAATGATATAATTTTTCTTATCACAAATATACATTTCGTTTGATTGGGAAACACTATAAATATTCGCAACCCTCTCATAATAGCAATAACAAGTAATTCAAATGAAACATAGTTTAATTAATTGGATCCAAAATAAATGAAGTTTAATAATCTAAAATAAATTTTCGATTGAGACTAGATTACACAATATTTTAGATAAGCTCAAGATGGTCTCCATCATTTATATAATTAAAAAGAACCAAACAGTTAAATAAGATTTACATATATAAATCCAAATTATAATGTCATGGGTCTTAAAACCCAAAGCTTCAATACCAAAATCCTACTATAAACTAAAATGAACGCTGTTCCATCCGTCATTTTTGAAAAATAAATACCCATCATTTAAATTTTGAATTTTATTTTTTCGGTCTTTACAAGAGTAGAGAAAGAACAATGTGCTTGCTTAGAGAGGTGATGTCGGAAGCAATACTGAACAATGAGAAGGGACAATGACAACGGGAAGTAGCAAGGGCAGAGAGAAGGAAGAAGTTATTGTGTGTGTGTGTGTTTTGAGAGAGAGAGAGAGAGGGGGGAGGAAAACAATTAGATAAAAGGTGGGGAAAAATTAGTAACCTATTTTATTTTTCATTACCACTTAATTTTTCCTCCGAAATTGGTGACAAAATTATTTTCTCACCAAAAACAAAATTATTAACGATGAAAATAATTTTCTCACTAAATGATATCAAAATATTAAAAATTATTAGTGATGAAAATATATTCGTCACTAATAATTTTATAATTGGTGACCAATTTTTTCCTCACCAAAAGTCTCAAAATCCAAAAAAAAATGTAGGAAAATCTTTGGTGACAAAAAAATAAAAATAATGACGAAAAATAATTTTGTCACCTAATTTTTTTATTATGTATCAAGATTGGTGACGAAATTTTATTTTTCTCTCTAAATATGATACATTTGGAGACGAAAAATTGTTTTCTTCATTAAAAGGTACGTCTTTCGTGACAAAATTGATTTTCGTCATTAGTTTTCGTCTCTAAAGACTCTTTTTGTTGTAGTGTTGGGAGAAGGAGTAATTGAAAACAAAATTGGGAAAAAATTACTTTTAGTAATGAAATTATTCAACAAATTTATTATCATTAAAAAAAAAAAAAAGTTACGAACCAAGACAAATTAATTGAAGAATAATTTAAATGGTACACAATACTGTCAAATTGAAAATGAAATGAAACAAATTTTGCAGGAAAATACTATTTGGTGGATAGTGGTTACAGCAATAAGACAGGGTACCTAGCCCCTACAAGGGGTATGGGTATGACCAAAATGCCCATTGAAATCGAACACCGCAGAATCAGTTCGAAATGTTCAACAAGGTACATTCGTCACTGCGTAGTTGTATCGAGCGGACATTCGGTGCCTGGAAGTCCAGGTAGGGGGCATTGCGGAATATGCAGAAGTTAAGTTTTTCTAATCAAGTTACGTTTGTATGTGCGTCGATCGCGTTACATAACTTCATACGCTGATATAGCGAACTTGATGAGGTCACAATGACTATCCCAGACAGTGACGATTATGTGGCCCCCCAAATGCCCGACCACGACAAATATACACGGGTTGCTGATGTGATAGAGGAAGGGGACTCCGACCCTGCAATGGCCGTTGTAAGAGCAAACATTACGAACGCACTCGTACGGCAAGCGCATCGGTAGGGGCAAATTGGAAATACAAGAATATTGGTTGAAGGTTGTTAATATCTGTAACGCCCCACTCCCGGGTCGTTAAATACACTAAAATAGCCTTAAAAAAATACAAGTTTTGCTCCCAAAAATAATAACTACAAAATCGTCTCCAAATGGTATAATATCTTCCAAATATTCTATAGCACAATTATCTCCAAAATAAACAATGTTACATCTATCTCCAAATTTAATAATTACAGTGGTGGGTCCCAAATCTTTATATTAATAAATCTTTTTAATCTCAAATTTGAGCTCCACTAAAATCTGCTCCGCACCTGAAAAATAAATTAATTCGGGAAGTATACAATACGACAGAAATACAAGGCTCAGATACAGAATAAATTAACAGGAATCTAACAATTTATGATATTAAATCAACGATACGATAATCAAACAATTTACCAAATTGCACAACAAATCAACTATAATTTATCTAGGACCAAATACTTGGTCCTACTCAGTACATGACCAGTGAATAAATTTATTTATTCACCCACCTCACCCAAGCTCCATGCTTATCCGGACATTTTGGTGTAAACAATTAATATGATTCACTTGATCCATGTACGGAGTATTTCCATGTCATTCAGTCAGACAAATCACCATTTTAATACTGAAATATTTGTAGAGAATTTTACCAAATGATCAGAATATCAATGATTCGACAACAAATGATTTTACCACAATAATCAAATAGATCACAAATTAAGGATAATTTAAAATAAGAGAACTCTTTGCAAAGAGATTTAAATAGAGCATATTGTATACAACCCGAATTTACCTCAAAATAATTAATTCCATCACCATAAATCTGAAATTGCTCCATGGATCTCTAAAATAATTCTGATCTCCTGTAAAATTACTAACTCGCATATCTAAACTTAATATTTCTACTCTACACAATTTATGAGAGGGGAGAGCTGAATGAAGGAAGGATTGTGAAGAGCTCTTCTCACTCTGCTGATTTATAGAGGAATAAAGGAGAGAAAGAAAAGATAAAAAAATCAAAAGTTAATGGAATGATGAAGTGATGGAATGATGGGTTTGGTATGCCATGTCAAAGAACTGTGGGTTGCCCACGGTTTTGTCTTTTTTTTTTATTGTTTCTTTTTCCACGTGATGGGGAATTGTGGGGAAAATTAATTTATTATTATATCTGAATAAATAACAATATGATAGATATAAAAGGGATGAGATAAATACAAATAAATAATTTAAAATTAGATTCTTATCTAAAAATCTCACCCTTAAATTATCATAATAAACCACCAATACCACTCGCTAAATATTAATACTTCAAAAATACGGGGTGTCACAATATCTGTAACTGAGATTCATATTTGTAAACACGTTTAATGTCTTTCGGAGCGTAGACATTTTCAACAAAATGTATTTTTAAAGGAAGTATGTCCACTTTTAACATATATAAACATGGGGGAAGTTTTTGCAATATCTTTTATAATAATTTGTTCTCAACCTGGCGTAAAAAAATTATTTCTAGCCATTGGTTAGAAAAAAAAAACATAAAAAAAAAAAAATTCATGACTGGGCATGTACGTGGTTTATTTTTTTTTATTCACATGTTATGATATGAATTCCCAAAAATACAGAGCATACCTATTCCACTCGTTTCCAATTTTCGGACAATAATGGAACAATTGCAACCTCTGCTTGAATAAAAAATTAATGAATACAAAAAGGAAAACAATCAAAAAAAAAAAATTTTGCACGGAAAAGGAAAAGAATACAAAAAAATGATAAAAAAAGGAAAACAATAAACCAAAATTAATAATGTTGAAACAAAAAGAATAAAAATAAAATGAAAATGTTAAAAGGAAAAGAATAAAAAAAAATATTGACTAAAAAAGGAAAAGAAAAAAAACAAAAATTAAAACGAAAAGAATAGAAAAAAAAATTGAATAAAAAAACGAAAAGAATAAAAAAATTAATAATGTTAAAAGGAAAAGAATAAAAAAAAATGTTAAAAGGACAAGAATAATACTGACTAAAATTAAAAAAAAAATTATGTTAAAAGGAAAAGCATGAAAATAATAATAATAATAATAAAAATAAAATAATAAAAATCTTTCAAAAAGGAAAAAATATTCACCTTGCTTGGTTTCCAGTTTTCTAAAACACTTTTCAGAAAATTCTACTTTCTTATTTTTCGTGTTTTTTTGTTTTTACTGAATTTTTTTAATATTTTAAGCAATTTTTTTAATTTTTAGACACACCTAACATAAATACACCTAAAAAGTAAAAAAAATGTAAAAAAAATCTTTTAAAAATTCACTAAATACAAAAAATACAAAAAAAAATACAAGAATTCAGTACATTTTTTGTATTTTTATGTATTTATTAATTTTTTAAAATATTTTTTCACAAATTTTTTACTTTTTAGATACATCTAAGTAAGGTGCATCTAAAAAAGTAAAAAAAAAATGTTTAAAATTTAAAAAATATTCACTAAAAACAAAAAAACACAAAAACCAAAAAAGTCAATTTTAAAAAAACTTAATCAAGAAAACTCAAACCAAACACAGTGATTTGTTTTCGTGCTTGTGAAAACAAATAATAATGGTAAAAGGAAAAGAATTAAAAAAATAAATTCTTTCAAAAAGGAAAATAATAAAAACAAAAATGTTAAAAGGAAAAGAATAAAAAAAAATGACTATAAGAAAAAAAAAATTAATGGTAAAAGGAAAAGAATGAATTTTCAAAAATAATGAATACAAAAAAAATTAAAGTTCAACCACGT